GAAGCAAAAAGAGATTAAGTAAAAAAGATGGGCAGAGAAAGAAAGTAGCTGTAAGGAAAGGAAGATCTAGGGGCAAAAGAAACAAGTAAAACATTATTCCTCCACCTCTCTCCCTGAGCTGTGCTTACTTGGGGACTGGGGGCACTGTAATTTTGTTTTTAAGCTGCCAAATTAAGTTCTTCAACACTGCTATTCAAAGACATGTGACACTGAGAAATAATGGCTTTTCTTTTTAATAAAAAACACCAAGACAAACAAATGTAACTTCTGAAAGCAAGAGGCTGTACAATGACCTTTGCTGTATAATCAGAAGTCCCAGCTTAAACARCGTGTGTGACTTTTGTCATTAGGGCAACACAGCTTCTGATGTGTGGTGTCACAACACCAAAATAAATGGCTTTCACGAGATGTGCACACAGAAAGGGAGAGCATTTTGTTCTGGAAGTGATTTCCCTGTCTCTGTACTGGTGCCAGTGACTGTGAAGGTTTCCCCGCTGCTGCCTTGGCTGCAGGATCTTGTAAGAGCTGTTCTAAAGGCAAAAGGGCAGATGTCAATCCTTGATCTTTCTGTTGAGAGGGTGATCTATTAAAGACTTTGCTAGCTGGGTATCTATTCCCTCAACAGGCTGCTCAAGGTAACAAACTCCTGTTTGCCAGATCAATGACCCTACGTCAAAAACTCAGTGTCCTCTTGTTGAATCTGCAAGTCATCCAAAAAGATTTTATTAATTGGGAAAGGTAATGGTGGGAGGTAAGCATCAAAATGTTAGTGGTGGCCGGCAGTGTAAAGAAACTGAAACAAAGAAGTCATGTTTCTGTCTGAAAAGAAGAGCATTTTGTCCACTCCAATAGCAGTTTGATAAACCCTCTTAATCAGACAAAAGGAGGAGACCATCAGCAAACTCCCCCAGCCCTCCTCTCCCTGTGCATCCCAGCAAAAACCAGACAGACACTGAGGGCAAACAAAAATGCTGGCTGAATTGCCCAATATGTCTGTTTAATTAGCACTTAAAGAATCACAAATGTTTTCTCCTTGCTTGAAGGAGAGAGAAGAAGGGGGCTTATAGACCATTTCACCTTAATAGTTAAGGAGAAAATTTTACAGTGCATACCCAAACTGGAAAGATAGAAAAAAAATCCAGATTTTTTTCTGTGTTTCTGTTGTACATGACTGGGATGTGGGGTTTGGTATAGCAGCATTTAATCCCTCTGGAAAAATGAAAGGGGTACAGGACATGGATTTTCTATACATTCACAATTCTCCCACCACTGCACAACTGGTGTGTAAGTCTTGGAAAATATTTCTTCCTAAAAGCACACATGCAAAATAAAATCACAGAATAACAGAACAGTGTGGTTTGGAAGRAACCTTTGAGATCATCCAGTCCAAAAAACCCTGCAAGGAGCAGGGACATCCTCAACCAGATCAGGTTGCTCAGAGCCCCATCCAGSAYGACCATGAAYGTTTCCAGGGATGGGGCATCCAYCACCTCTSAGCAAACTGGTTCAGTGTTTTGTCATCCTCATTGTAAAAATATCTTTTGCCATAGACATTTTCAGAGGTACAATAATTTGGAAAATGTGCACAATTATTGATGCTACTGAACTTCCTGCCCTGTAACAATGGAATTTTCTTGCCCCCAAAAGCATCARTTCTGCAGGGCTTCTTTTATTTTTGTTGCTGTTATCTTTTATGACAGTCAGCCATAAAATCAAATGTGTTCCCTCAAAAGARCTCTCATCTTTGTTTTTTAAAACCAGTGCTCTTATTCTTTTCGACATTAATGGAAAAATATTCCAGAGACATAATGGCATAAAAAAGACAATGCCCTGCCTKGTATTTCACATACATAGGAAATGAAAGAGTGAAAGATGTGCACTAGACATTTCAAAAACACCCATTTGACTTCTTTATGAAAATGCTTACCTTTTTCCATAAAGAAGAAAAATTCCAGTGAGTCTGAGGATTTAAAAACAGAATGTAATGATCTTTCGTGTAAAGCCTCAGRTTTCTCAGACTCCATCAGTGTAAAAAATTTTGCAAGGCTCTCTCTTCAGGCTAATTTAATTAAATGAAGTGGTACTAGAACACCCTGTCACTATTACAGTTCTCATCCTCTCCAACCAGAAGGCAACAACTCCCACAGCGTGCCTGTGCATGTTCTTTASAGCAATGCTTCACCCACTGTTTAAAAACACCCCACAGTGCAAAGTATGTATGACAAATACTCTAATACCTTCTMTCTTTTACAAAGAAAAAAAAAAGTCCAGAGTAAAATGTTATCAATATTTATTTTCTTCTCTTAAAAATTAACCTTCTCATACATTCAACATTTCTATCTAGAAGCTCTCTTCAATGGGAGCTTGCCTGCACTCTAATTCCATCCCATGTGCTATTGCTATTGCTGTGCTGTTTTCTCTGGCCTTATCAATGACAGAAACAAATTTGCCTTATAAGAAGAGTTAATCATCTCCACATAGATTTTATTCCTAGGCACAGGCTCAAAGTCCATGAACACATAATCTTTTGCAAATCAAAACCTATTTCTCTCTTTCATGCATCATTTACAATCCCAAGATGATGTACTGCTAGCATCACACCTGTATTTTASCTCGCTTTCATCCTGATTACTCGTCCTTTAGAAAAGAAAGCACAAGTGACCTTTACTCTTTTCCTCTCATATTTTATTGTCTGTTTGCCTTGTTTTCCTCTTGCTTGTCTMTGTAAAGAATTGAAAGAGAAAGCGGGGTTCCAACCCAGCAGCAGAATACTTCCTCTTCATAAGTAGAAAGAACAGATTTTAAGAACAGTAAAATACCAGGAAAGAAGAAAGCTTACAGCTTTCAGTCGCTGGGATTACACAACTGACCCTGCAGAAACTCACTGTGTAAGTGAGACCCCTTTGAGYCCCAGGTTACCCATGTGAAGTCCAGACCTGATCTGGTTTGTGGGCAGTTCCTGCTGCCTCTCTAACCACAAGCCTGAAGGCAGCAGCAGCAGCARMATTCTTATGTCACCCCCTGAGCAGCTCAGTCATTACTGCTGTGCCCTGGGTTASAACTGCACTAACCAGTCAAAAATAGCAAAACAAACCCAAACAGTCTCAAAAGTGATCAAGTCCAAGAGCTTTGCCAACCTGACTGGTGCAAGCTGTCAAGATGATGTCTCCTTCAGGCACTGGAATGAGCCCTCACTGTCTCCCACAATTTTTTTCTACAGCTTCATCTGCAGTGAATATATTTTCCTGAGATTCCACTGCTTTAAAGAAGATTCTGTTTTCTCACAACCTTAACTAAATTGCTTACCCATTTCTATACCAATTATGTCCTATGGGCCCTAGATTCCAAATCTGCCTACAGGAAGGTGCACAAATGCTGCAGCTGTGACATGCATTAACCAATATTCTAGCAACAACCAGGCTGATTGACAAATTTGGGTTTTGATGACAGTTTCATTTTAACAAGCTGTTAGTGTGACTGGATTTGTATCTCTTGTGCTAATAATCTGATGTGCACAGCATTTGACACCCTCGTCCCCTCACCCAACTCCAGTAGATTATATTAATCTTTAATTGGGTATTGTTCTTGTTTGCATATAATTGCTGTTGTTTGTTATGCAAAATATTTGTCCTCTAAAATATTTTGATGCCTCTCTTAAAGATTGGCCTTTTACACTTGTAGAATGCAATTTGCTTTATGGCATCACCAGGTTTCCCCACAATAAGATTTTTGAGAAAAAAGAGTGAATATTTCATCTGTAGTGAGAAATTTGCATGTTGCTAAATGGTGATGTTCATGAAAGCTTAAAAAATTAACCCAGTCATAGCTGTCCTTGTGTTTGCCCTTCTTCATTCCCTTGGGTTCCCATGGAGTAAAAACAAACCCTGAGATGTATTAAGCAACATGAATTTCTTTTTTTTTTTTTTTTTTTTTAGTGTTTCTCCTGCAGTCAACTTGTGGAACAGTCAGTTTTGACAAATGAATACACAGGCCCCAAGTCTAATATAGACTTTTTCTCTACAGCCTTTCCTCCTACACCCACCTTCTCTTTTTCAAGTGAGAGTATCAAGAAAAGCTTATGGTTTTGATCTCTGTGCAAATAAATGAGCTGAAACAAATAAAACCTGGTTCACCAGAGACCTCCAAGACATCTGGTGGAGTTATTATTCTAAGTAATTAGACCAAGTGGTAGTGAAATTCCCAAATGGAAAGTACCTTCTCACTTGGTATCCAGTTATTTCTCAGAGCAATCCAAACAGCARTAAGTCCTGCCTCTCTCCTTGCATGTGTCTCAGACTCTATTGATTACCAGTCTTTCCAAACACTGGTTTATTATTCAAATTGTAAAAACTATTTTTTTTTTGTGCCATGAGGATCCTGTTTTACTTCCATGAGCATTGCTGGGATTTCTGGTATTGACTGAGGAAGGATGCTAAGCTGCTGTAGTGCTCCTTCATGCAGGATCTACGGAGCAGGCGGAGAAGGGCAATGAATAACAGCCAGGTGCTTGCTCTGGATCAATACACTGCTCTAAAGMGTGCCCAGGTGTGCTTTCTCCTCCTTTCTTGCTGAGAGCTGATTAAATTTCTCTTTTTTTCCCTCATATCTCCCCAGGAAAACATCATTCTAGTTACAACCCAATTGCTCTCTGACACTTTGGGGAGAATGTGGTTCTTGGTCTGCGACAAAAACACTGTGCAACCACTCTGAATTTGTGACTGGGAAGTGAACTGGGAGTAGACCTGTCTGAAGAAAGGAATTTCATTTTGTTTGTGTGTGGTTCTCTTGTTTTTCTGGTTTCAGAGTTGGTCAGGGTGCTCTACGCTCCTAAATCTCTAACAGACCTGGGTGCAGATGCTGTCTCTGGAAAGCCAGATATAGAACTCACACCTGCAAAAGGATCAAAGAAAAGTCTCTGCCATATGAAACAGCTGCTAAATTACAGCACTAGGTTTGGCACTAATGGTGCTCATTCTCATCCCTTCATGACACAAACTCACCAGAGGTTTCATCTACTCTCTCGTCCACCACATGGTCCTTCTGATGAACCCACTCACTGTTGCACTTAAAATAGATCTGTGTGGCCGGGCTGGCTTTGCAGTACAGGTTCACGGGCTTGTTCTTCACAATGTAAGCCTCTTCTGGTTCGATGAGGAAGTGGGGCAATGGCTCTGGAGGATCAGATGGAAAAGTTTCCGGAAGCTCATGAAAAAAGTCATCATCTGTAAAGGAAAAATGAAAGAACCAAATTTCAGCTGGCAAATATTTGCAAAAACATCCTGAAAATTAACAAAGATGCATGCTTTTTGAATAAAATGTTATCTCAGCAGCATTCCTAAACTGAGACTTAGATGCACTACTGTTTCCAGACTAGAAGAAACTGTTCTTTACATCCTGATCTCTTTCCTCTCTGTGATGTGACAGCAATTTGCACATTCACAGCCTGGGATCAACCCTTTGCTACCATCCCCAGCAATGCCAGCAAWAAAGCTTTGTGTTAGAACTTGGGAGAGTCACCTGCAAAACCATAAAGAGAAATAACAGAAATTTTTGGAGGCTTCAGGGTGACACTTTTTCATAGTTTCATATGGCACTGCGTAATTGGACAGTGCAATAGCTGCTGCAGGCTGAGGCTGGTCCAAACAGGAAACAGCATCTTTTGTTTCAGATGAGCAATCTGAAATCTGCTCTGAGGGCAAAAGACTAAATGCAAGTCCAGCCTCCACCTCTTTGTTCACACTGACTTTCCTGCTAATGCAGGTGCCAAGTTGTGTTTTATTTACTCTGTAGTACATAGGTCTGTGCAGTCCTTGAGGTGGAGAGGGCTTGGGAGCGGGGACACAGGCAGGGCAGCTGTGAAATGGTGACATTTTGGGCCAGCACAGACACATGCTATTGGCATAAGGAACCTCTGCACCTCTCTGGTGCTGCTGGTAAAGAATAAAGTCAACGAAAGGAGTTTGGAGAAGGAGGAGAAGCATCCATCCTSCAGGAGGCAGGACTGAAAATACCAAATGTGCACACTTTCCTTCCTCCCTCCCTCTTCACAAATCCTCTTTTACAACCCCTCTGCCCCTTTGTGCAGAGGAAGTCTTCCACATCAGAAAGCACCAAATTCAGCAGAGAGAAACCCTCTCCCCATCTCCCTCCCGACAGCAACATCCAAGAGGCTCCGATCAGCAGAGCCGGGGGGTAGCACCAACCCCTGACAGACGCACCAGTGGCGAGCTGGCAGCTCTGAAAGCCTTTTCAATCTCCCCTCCGTGCCTCTGACACAGTTATCATCACACCTGGTGATGGACGTTGGTGCTGCTCAATAAAACACCCCAGAACACCCAGATGGAAATACGGCTGGCTATCTCCTCCCTGCCAGTCTTCATGAAGAGGAAATGTCAGGCAGCTCCCTCCCCAAACCTGAGATTTCCYGTGCGGGTCGTGTCCAGAATTACAAGGGGTACCCGTCTCCTTCCAGACAGTGCTTTTCAGAAAGACAAGGAGGAGCAGGGACACATGAAGGAGAGAAGGGGAGAGGGTAATGTATGGACTGCATGTCTTGATCAGTGATGGGAATACTTACACTACTTACACAGCAAACCATTTTGTGAACCTCCTAAACTAGTTATGAAGAGAACATATGTTCACCTTTTTTTTTTTTTTTTTCTCATTTCTGCCCCCCCAATACTAATTTAAAAATACTCCCTCCCATCCTTCTGGGCGTTTCATTTTACAAGGAGTATCAAGCCTGACTCACTACTGCATCGCCCCATGAGAGTTAATAGAAGTGAACTGGTTCAAAGATAGAAAAAAGGGCCAATAAATAAGGCCTGACATTTTTCTAGCAAAGGGAAAATCTGTGACACACTATAACACACTTCCATTTCCATCTCCAATTAATCATTTCCAGATACGCAAATTAAATTTAATTTTTTATCACTTTCCCATGCTTCCTTTTATTTCTGCAGTTTCCCTCTGACCAGTCTCCTTCTTCTGCAATCCTATTTCCTCTGCTCATTAGGTATTTGTTCCATGCTCCATTTTGATCCTCATTTTTTTTTCCAAAAAGAAAGATGAGTTACAGTAAGTTAATGGGARTCCTCATTTGGTTCCATGACAATGGAACATGTCTGAACTGAATCAAAAGGCTTTTTGGCATTTTTCATCCCCTTCCATGCACACCTCTCCTCTTCCCCTCTCCCTTTCCCACATTCTGCTCCGTAGACATCCACAACACAGAAACATTAGAGATGAATCATTTCCCCTGAATTGCCACAGGACGTATCTTTTTCTTCTGGTCATTTAATTGCAAATCAGCAAGCAGGCAGATGGAAACYAACAAAGCACACATATGTTTTATAATTAAACAAGTATTGCTTCRCTAATTTCTGGTGACTGGGAGAACAAATGTATTTATTTTCGCCACTAAATTTCTGCACATTATCAAAGGCAACACTTACAATGCCTGACCAATTAACTGCAYCTTATCAAAGATAACTAGTAAGTCTGAAAGGAGAGATCAGCAAGCTGCAAAAAAGAAAAAAAGGTGGTTTTTTAAATTATTCCTTTAACCAGCCTGGAAAACATGTGTGGGTTTTGGTTTTATMTCCTGAAGGTAACTGCTTCTCAAGTTTAAATATTATTTGCATGTATCCAAAGYGCTGCCCAGTACAGTACAATCTAGTCTCACATTTTGACTGTGGTGACAGCTGCTTCTCTCCACCAACCTGGCATCCCACAGTCAGGCACAAGCCTGTTTTCTTACTGTCTCCTTGCTGTGAGTCCTCCTTTCTCTTCTTGAGCAATAATGAAGCTCAGCTTTATTTTTCCACACTCTTTTTTCATTTCTATCAAGAGGCATCTGAACTGCTCTTAAATGTTAGGGATATAGATGGAAACCATTCACAAACTGTCACACAAACAGTGCTCAAAGGCTGCCACATCCCTGGAAACTGGCATTTAAAACCGTCACTTTCCGAAAAGAATTTAAGATAGTAGCTAAGAAAGATATTTTTGCTTTTCAAACTTGAGAATGCTCATTCAATCCCTGCCCTCATACTGTTGCTGTTAGTAGCAACAATGGTGCTTTTTTATAGAGCAGTTTCTCAAGAGGAACATACAGAATATGACCGTGCCTGGGTTTGACAGAAAAAAACAGCAATCCCGCTGCAAAGCTAGCCCTACCTTCATTACACTGAGGGACTCTGGCTCCTGCTTTCCCCTGCTGAAAGGTAACAGGAGGCTTGTTCAGCCTGTGGGAAGCACAGAGGGAAGTCCCYTGGTGTTCCCTGCACCCCACAAAGAGCTGGGGTCAGGTGCTGCAGGGAGGCAGAGCAGCMCTCCCCTCTGAGCCSGGCACAGCAGCTGCCACCAGCGGAGGGGGCAGGATGTGATTTACAGGCAGAGAGGGTGAGCAGCCCCAGTTCCCCTRTGCCTGGCTGTGGCACTTCCTTCTCAGGATGAGAATCTTTTGAGGAGGAAGAACCCTAAATGGACTCATGATGGCTTTCACATAACAGCAGGCACTGCTGAGGCATGGCTTAGGACAGTCAGCCAAGGCAGCTGCTGATCTGGGACAGGGTTTTGAACCATCAACCTCAACACACATCTCAGAGCCAAGAATTGCATTTCCTTTTTTGAATTACACTGATATGCTGTTGTGCTTTCATTGTAATGCTCGCAGCAACATYGAGCATAATTATAATGTCAGTGTAATTACTTGGCAAAATACTCCTAAAAATCCAACACAGAAAACGTCAATATAGGACATTTGACCATGTTGGGATTTTTGCAGTTCTTTAGAGAACAAGATATGGTAACGTCAAAAAAATCTAATGAATCTGTGTTTTCATGAGGATTGTTTCTAACAACATAATATACCTTTCCATCAGTTTCTCCTGACCAGCTCCATCTAAACATAGGCTATTCCTCTTTCCATACAACAAAAAACCTCTGACTTAGATTTTTCAGGGATGATTTTGGTATAACTGTGTGGCCTCTTGGGCCAGCTTCTATAATTTGGGTGGGGGTTGCCTCTTGCTCCGTTGCTATATGAGGGGGTAAATCTTGCCTGAGATTTTGGTCTGCGTCTTCCTGACAGTTATCGCTGTTTATTTAAAATGTTCATCTCCCAATGGAGTAACAAAGTAGCAAATTTTATAACTCTCTTATTTAACTCTCCTAARTAGYAAGAAWTTTTTTTCCTTTATTCTGGAGGGGAAAAAAGCTAATTAAACCATTTGGGAGTGATCTGGGAGTGTAGTTGCAAACACTGAAAATTCACATACCTGATTTTCAGTCATTATGCCAATGTCATGTACAGCGAGCTTCCCTCACAACCTTGATCAAACGCGAGCACAAGACACACATTGTTCTCCCCTGTTGTAACAAATCCCCTTCTGTGCTCAGTAACTTTGAACTGCAAGTTTACTTCTGCAGTTTGTCACATTCATCTTTATTTTCACATAATAAAGTGTACAGCCCATCTGTTGTTATTGACTGATTTACATTAGCAAGACAAAAGACCTGATTAATGATACTGCTAAACTGGTTCYAGTCATGTAATTCATTCACATTAAGAAAATAAATTTTTAAAAGCCACTTTAAATCTATAAACTTCATTTGGAATTTTTGTTTTTGTTGCTGGCCCAAATACAGATACACTTTTTAATTTGCCTTCTGTAGTATCTGACAGCTATGTTTTTTAAAAGCGAAGTCACATGCAAATCTCTAGGAACAGGGGAAATGCCACTGAAATCAGCATCTGTCTTGAAATCATCACAATCTGTCTTGGGCTGTCACATTTAGGAATTTTACCTTAATTTTAGTTCAGCTTTCTTTTAAGGTAAAACAAATCTTTGCCTAAGCCAGGAACCTTTTGATGTTAGCAAAGCTCTTTATTCTTTTCATGCACTTGCCTGTAAAACTGTAYATGTTATAGCTCTCCATGCATAACAAGTGAAAAGAGAGATTTAATGGTATATTTCCCCTTTTATGGATTAGTATCCCTGCTCTAATCTGTGGCAGGAAAATATTGTGCTCCGTACACCAATCTATTCATCTCTAGATCACTGGTTTTATTACTATATAGGAAGCTTTAATTCTCATCAGCCCARCATATAACTCAGTACATATCTGAACTGCGGGACTTGAACTATTATTGCTTAGATGATAATATATTGGACCATTATCTCTTCATGCGAGACCTGAAGCAAATTCTTCTCAAATG